CTACCAGCTGAGCTGAAGTGGACTTGAAAGCAGTTGTGCTTGTTCTCAAATGTTTATGCCAGTTGCACCAATAATTGCAATTATGTAATTCACTTAAACACTGCAAATTAATGAAATAAGTGTGAAAAGAGAGTTGGTATTTCTAGAACAACTAAGTCAAATGCTTTGTAAAAGTGAATTGCTAAAGCAAATGCCTTTGAATTTGTGTGGGAGAAATGACTGTAAAAGATTAGAGGAAACCATAACAAACTAGAGGGATTTAGGTGGTGCATTGTGGGTATGCTTTAAAAAGGAGGACGGTGCTTCAATCCAATCAGCAGACCCACCTTAACTGTATTTAGAAAAATTTGCAAACGAATGCACATTTACACTTTTATTTATATAAAATGTTTGAGGCAGTTTGACTTTCTCAATTAACAATCTTAACTGCATCATAATAGGTCTTCGACTATACATATGAAATCAATGATATCAAAATCTGTAGTGGTAGGGCTTCCTGTGGCTCACTTGGGAGAGTACAGGGCTGATAACACCAAGGCCAAGGGTTCGGATCCCTATATAGGGATGGCCAGTTGGCTCACTTTGGGAGAGCGTGGTGCTGACAACACCACGTCAAGGGTTAAGATCCCCTTACTGGTCATCTTTAAAAAAAAAAAAATCTGTAATGGAAGAACCAGAATGTGTGAAAGAGACAGTAGGTGGCACAGCACTTCTTATAAAGAGAAAAAAAGAAAAAGGAAAGATGGCATTTGCAGAAAAGTTGTATAACAATTACACAGTGAACATGCAGCATCCACTTTAAAATAGGTTTTAAAGTACAGTCATGTGCCACATAATGATGTTTTGGTGAACGATGGGCTGCATATATGATGGTGATCCCATGAGATTACAATGGAGCTGGAAAGTTTTTATCACCCATTGACACTGTAGCCATCATAATGTCATTACACAACACATTACTCACGTAGGAACAGTAGGCTATATCACATAGTCTAGGTATGCAGCAGGCTGTACCATCTAGGTTTGTATAAGTACTCTCCATGATGTTTGCACAATGACATATTTCTCAAAACATGACCCCATCGTTAAGGAACACATGCCCATATCTTGCCCTTTTGTGACTGTTTAGGGAATAAAAATTGCAATTAAATTGTTTTCAGTTAAATTTTCCTTGACTGCATTATTAAATTTAACATTGTTGGCAAAGATTCCCAATGGAAACTATTTATTATCTGATTTGGCTCTATTTATAATTGAAAGTAGTCAGCAACAATAAGATATATTTTCTTTGAGACTTATTTTAGGTTCAGGAGATAACCAGATGGATGAAATATCATAGAAATGACCTGGAAATGAAGATGGAATCAGTCTTTGCTTTCTGTGACCCTGTTTTAAACATTTCCTATAATAATACAGAAGCTAAGTTACACTTACAATTGTTATTAACCTGGAAAGCTGACTCCAGTGCCTGTAAGAAAGGTTTACCTTAGGGTGGAGCTTTTCAAATGGTGTCTTCAGTATCAGCACAGCGATTGCAAGGAGAACGGGCAGAAATTGCATCCCAGATAAAGTTAGGATTAGAGCTCTTTGGACAAGCTGAACTCTTTGTTTCTAAATTAAGATTTCCTCATAGACCAATGAACACTGCAGTCAAGCAAGCTGCTCTGATAGGGAATGCAGAGAAATACCAATTCAGCATTATTTTTAAACACTGTCCCTTGTTAGCTCACTCTATTAAAAAGTAGTGAAGGGGGTTATAAACTGTTTTGGTCTATGTATCATGAAACATCCTGCATGACAAAATTAGGGGCCAGTTGTGGATCACGTGGGTATGTGTGAATTAGTTGAAGATAAAGACATTCATTGCTCGCAGGGGATCTCAGTAAAGCACACTTAATAAAACGTTGCTCCATATCACAGTTAAAGATTCTTCAACTCCCAGACCTCTCTATTGCCAAACCCCTGCATAAGTGGAAAAGCAACGAAGTTCTGTCATTCACTTCCATGACTTTTGTTGACCTGAATCTTGCAGGAGCTGGTTGTGCACCTCTTCCCTGACAGCACATTGGTACTTTGAAATTGGCCACAGTGGGAGTGTTTACACTGTGGAATTGGCACACACTACAAATCAGATCACCCCCCATCCCCAAACACCAGTTGTTAAACACTTACCTGCATACCACTGCTTCTGGGATATAGATTCTTGATCTTTTTTGGGCCATGGACCCTTATGATATCTGCCAGTGCCCCCTCCTCCCAAATAATGTTTTTAAATTCAGTGCAGTTATTAAAATGTTAAAATAAGAAGTTTATGATATGGTTATATGTGTGCTTCCCTAATGACATTTGAAATAACATGATCTGGCAGTATGTCTACTCTAAATTCTAAGCAATGATTAACATAAACTATATTTTGAGATATCTACAACACTGCAGTGTGATTTTAAAGCATCTGTGATTTCTATTGGACACAAAGGCATCGATATCTAACTAATACTACTGTGGTTTGTTGGCTACATTCATGATTGAAGGAAAAGATACATTTCAATTAGGTGTTAGTGAAAATATACATGTAATTTATCTTCCATCCAAGTCCACACATGCCCTAAATTCTATCCACAGACCCCTTGGAAGCACATTGATTCCAGGTTAAGAACTCCTGCTCTGTTAGAATCCTATTTCATGTTTGCAAGCATCAGAATGAACCCTGCTGCCTCATATAGGTTATTTCCAAAGTGGAGGTAAGAAGGACTTCTCTAGAAAATATAATTATGTTTGGACTCCCCTATGCCCCAAATTTACAAATTATGTTTCTGTTTCTATAATAATTACTCAGGCTGTTTTCATTTAAATAACCACTTCCTTATTGGTTGTTCAGCTTTACCTCATGAAGAGCTAGGGCTCGGTCTCACAGACCCCTCGAGCCCGTTGTCCAGACTGGGTCACAAACCCTCCACATGCAGGTCTATGAATTAGGTAATAGGAAAAGGTCCTTGGAGCCATGGGTGAAGAAATAATGGGCTTTATTCAGAGCTAGGAGCGGTCAACCTAATATGTCTTCCTGGAGCATCCTCTAGAAGCTTCGTGCATCTGCGCCTTTAATCCTTTATACTCAAATCCATAGCCCAAAAAAAAAAAAACACAACCAGGATGCACATGCGCAATGACGTTGGACAATAACAAGGAACACCCGTGCACACGCGCATACCCACCTCAGATGCTCGGCAAGACTGAACATCGGAGGGGCCCTGACCATTTTCCTTATATTTTCCCAATAACCCCCAACATGTCAGGTGAATGCCCTTATTTATAACCCAAAATGTCATGCAGGTGTATTCCCTTAGACATCTTTTTGGGCTGCTCACCACCGAATTTGGAATCTTCTCTCATATGTTTGGTTTTTACCCAACTGAAAGACCCAGCCCAAATCTCCCCCTTTCCGGCCTCCTGTGGCTGTTCTAGCCGACTTTGGCCTTTCCATTCTCCAGCCTCCTCTTGCAGAGCTGCTGTTGGAATCTTCAGGTCACTACAGTCTTCTGCTCCTGGTGAGAATCACAGTAGGCTCTTCTCTCTCCCACTGTTGCTAAATCCTTTAGATTCTTTCTCAACTCCACCTCTCAAATCCATCTCTTTCTGTTTCCATTCTACCAGTTCAGACTGTAATTCATTTCCACTTGGACTGTTACAGCAAACTCCTAACAACTTACCCTCACTTCAGTCTTGCCCCCTTTCAATTTATTCTGTGCTCTGCTTCCAGAGTTATTTCTCTGACACAGATCTGACCATTTCCCTCCCCGCCACACACACCCTCCTCAAGAGCTCTCGATTTTATATGGATAAGCATGACTTTCAAGTCTTTCCTTGATCCAAAGACAGCCTATACTTCCATTATTCTTCCCAGAAAAATGTTCCAGTAATGGTAGAAGGTTCACCGTTTCCCCAGAAATGCCCATACACTAACTTTGCATGATCTGTCCTCTTGTCTAGAACGCCCTTCTTCCCAGCTTTGTCTCTTGCAGGTCTATCTAATCCTGCAGAACTCCAACTGAGTCTTATCTCCTCCACAACTAATCCCTGGGGCCTCTAGACCTGGATGAGCCCCTACGGCCCCTGTTCTGTTATTAAACTTTGTTTATTAATTTATTGTTGTCTTGAAGAGACAATTTCATTTGTATTATTTCATCTGTGAGTCTCAGTATAGAAGGAATGGAAACATCCATCCTGAAGACCTCTCCACAACATCTAGAACTGGGCCTTGTTCATAATTCATTAGCTATTGCTTAAAAGCTATCCAGCTTACTTATTTTTCAGTTGAATTATTCTCTGATTATTTTGTGCATATATGTTTAATTTGCCCAGATGGGATTTTCAATTATTGGTATGCAAGGAATCTGCTTTGTACACCTTTGTATTTCCCCATAGTACTAGGCAATTGTAGGAGCTCGATAAATATGAGGGTACTTCAAAAAGTTGGTGGAAAAATAGAACTACAAGATAATATAAATCTTTCCATGAGTTTTTTGAAGTATCCTCATATCTGTTGAAATGAATTAATGATGACATTAATTTCCCTAAGTATACTTAGTTCTTATAACATTTATAATTTACCCAAGGAAACATTCTTATGAGCACGTTATGACAAGGACTTTGCTTATCTATTGAACTATTCGGGCCTGACATTAAAAGTGTAAATGAGAACATAATACAGGATTCACCTCCCTGTACTTTTCTACACTGAAAACCAACCAGCTTCAGACTTTAATAGTAGCAAATACAATTAACCAAGAGATTTAAGGAGATTTTTCTAAACCTGTTATTACTGAAATTGAAATTAATGTTATATGGTTAGAGCTTGGTGCTGATAACACCAAGGTCCAGAGTTTGATCCTCCCAGAAAACCCAAAATTAATATTATGGTGCTATGTAGTTAACCAAATATGTAACCATATGATAAATGTACTGTATTAGTATTAAAGTCAGTGGGTTATCTTTTTTTGCAGGGCCTGATGATGCACAACAAAAAATAGAACCTCATCACACAGCAGTGCTCGGTGAAGGTGACAGTGTCCAGGTGGAGAACAAGGTAAGTATTAAAAATTTTTAATTTTCTCAACTTGCGCTTTCTACTAGTTTCCAGGAAAATGCCTAAATCTCCCATATTGCTGCACATTCTGTCTCTCCCTTGAGAAAGAAATTATACCACAAGCTTATCAACCCCTTCCATTAATTTCTATTGGTTTATTTTAAAGTTTTAACTATATTGATTGCTCACCTTCAGGAATCATCTAAAGTCCCTAGAAATTTGAATCTGGAGGCAACACATCCTCATTGTCCCTTAATTTTCTTTCTTTATAGAATTGATTTATTTTGTTTTTAGCATGAGTGAAAGTGGATCAGCCCTCTAGAAGTATAAATATAAATCTGCATGCATAGTCATAGAGCCCTTTGCAAGTAATCCCCATTTTGAACTGAGAGGAGTACATAATGTGTTTCATTGTCCATTTGTGATGAATCCCTGCTTTTTAAGTAAAGTTTCTGATATTTTAGGAGTCTTGGCAGGTTTTTTTCCCAGGTTTGCAAGTTTTTTTCTCACGTCTGTTTCATTCCCCTTGGTAATTCACTCACCATCTTGTGGGTCTATTGAGCCAGTCTGACTGCTTTGTGTCATTCTAACAAAGAGGACTGAGGAGACAATTGTGCAAAAGCTCCTGAAAAGATGAATTTTGAAAAGTGGGAATGAAAACTATTTCAGTGTGCAGGTGACTGGTGGAGAGGCAGCCTGACTGACTCTGTTATTATAGAACACAGTGGATTTGAGGAATTATTATATTTTAGCCTACTTTCCTGGCAGCTCACCTGCCAAAGGAAAAACCTCGTAAGCACCAGAAAAAATGCATATCTCAAGGTCTGTGCTCTCTAATATTAGGTTGAACCGTATGAAACTGCCACTTTTGACCTACAAAATGGCAATTTCACGTATTTCATCCCAATACAGGAAGGAGGCACATAGACCAAAACCTACTGATATCAGATTAGTTCGTTACATTATATGGCTTAACTTGGCAGACTTCAGTTCTTCTGCACGTTGCACATACTAAGGATTTGGCAGCTGCAATGGAACACCAGAAGGAGTGATGAAGGGAGCCAGGACAGGGGTAACCAGGATAGAAAAGAGTCAGCCGAAACCCTCCATCGCTGGGCAAGCCACGCTCCTGGCTCCACGGGCAGCAATTCTGTAACTGTAGCTGTGTGTGAGCATAGCCTGAGCCATCAAAGCCTTATAAAGATTTCTACGAAAAATTTATATGTAAAAAAATTTAAAGGGGGTATGTGTCACTTATATCCACAGGACAGTAGAAAGTCCCCCTTAGATGACAATAGAAAAGAGATTGTCAAGGTTTGAAGCTTGGCTCTGCCACTAATTAGCTATGTGACTTTGGACATGTTTCTAAACTTCTCTGAGTTTCAGTTTCTTTGTCTGCAAAATTGAAGTAATGACACCAACTGCATGAGATTGCTGGAAAGAATATTTGAGATTATGTAAGTTAAGGGTCTACTCCAGATCTAGCACGAGAGTCAGTAAATTATGTCCAAATAGACCAAAAATAGGCCAAATTCAAACCTGCTTTAATAAATAAACTTTTATTGGGCCACAGCCATACCCATTCATTTATGCGTTGTCTGTGGATTCTTTCCCACCATTCTTTCAGACTTGAGTAGTTGTGACAGAGACTAGATGACCTTCAAAGCCTTTACAGAAAAAGTTTGCCAGTCCCTGGTCTAATACATTGTAGGTGCCCAATGATGGTAGCTGGAAAGTTTACTATCCAAACACCTAATTTAACAGATAGTCATATCACACACATTACCTAATGAGGATTCATACCTTAGGCCAGAAGGCTTAGGGCACATAACAGTTGCTATAGGTAGAAAAAGGCCCTAAGGGAAGCTCCAGTTGCACAATTGGTTAGCACGAAGTACTTATAAGAAAAAGGCCCTAAAGGACCCTGCCTCACTCAGGCTCCAAGCCAGGGTTATTCTTACTTAGAACTAGCCTAAGCTTGAGAATTCGATAAAGAAGGAAGACGTGACTTCCTAGTGCTACCTTAATCTCATTTGCACTAAATTGTGGTCCAGAACGAGGAGCTGATTTGTTCCCTGGTTTTCTTTTGGCTCTGTTCTTCTTCACTACTCATTTCTGCGTCCTCCACGTCACATCCATCTTCATGGTTGACCAGCAGTATTGGCAGTTTCTTCTAGGGTGGCCAATCTGCAGGGCAGGAGAGGAGGGCTAGGAAGGCATGACATAGAGAATCACACCTTCTCTCTGGCCCAGGTTTCCCTGCTCCATCCTAGCATTTATTTGACCCATGTCAGGCCAGCACATGCCGGCCTGCAGGGACCCCTGACTTCCTTACTCAGAGGGTGCATTGCCTTCTGTGACGATTATTCCTGAGTCTGAAATACTGGATAGCAACGGCAGGGGGGCTTGGTTTATGCGAGATTCAAGAGTTTTTATGCTAGACCCTTTGACTTTTTGCAGAAAGCCCAAACCACAACAATGGTTTCAAAATGGATTTAACTCTTTCAGAGTTCTTAGAGATTGGAATCAACCCCAGGTTATTCTGGACATTTAAATGTAACATTTGATTAAAATAAACATTGAAAGACAGGAATAAAACAAAACACCCTGTTAAAGTTAGAGACAACTTTTTTGCCTATTTATATGTAAAATTTTATGATGAAATAAACCGCTATTTTTTTAAAAAACTGATAACAGTTTATTGTTTTATCTTTCTATTGCCCAAGAAATGTAAACAATGAAATCTAATAGGAATAATTACATGCTAAAACTCAGATTCTTTCTGGTAATTTTTTCAGGTAATATATCACTATAAAGAATGTTATTGAAGCAAAAGCATGCCCTTAGGTTTACTGCCATCTCAAGTTTTATATTTATAACCAGTCAAACAAACCGGATAGATACTCGTAGTTTAGAAGTTACCATCACGTTAAATGAATCATATAACTTTCATCTGGGCTTTGATCATTTCTTGTTAATATCAGTGGAACTCAAGACATATCTTAGCAATAATACTTATGGAATAACAAGAGCAATTTTAAAAAGTAAATTATTAAGTAAACCTAGAAGGGTCTAACTCTGTACCAGGAATACTGAGAAGGTGCACCAAAGTGAAAGACTGGTCTGGGCCCAAAACATCATGAATTTTAGTTGGGGTAATTAAACATGCTCTGGTACCTTTGTATGTTTTGTTTGTTTGTTTGTTTGTTTGTTTGTTTGTTTGTTTTATCAAATCCCATAAAAGCATTGACTTAGAGCCACACAAAGACTCATGTCTTAAACAGTTCTCTCATTCTATTTGCTTTTGCTGATTTTCATCATTTCACACCCTAGACAAGGTCACCACAGACAAGGACTTTTCAAGATGACAGCAACTGGGACTTTCAACCACATCAGTATGCTACTGAATATCCAGAAAGATGATCAGATTTCACCCAAGGAGGCTAGTTAAAGAAAGAAAAAATGACCCATTTAAAAAAAGAAAAAGACATGAAACAGATCTGCTTTAGATTAGAGGAGAAGGGGCCACTCAAAGGTTAAATTTGTGGAAAAGTCATTAAAAGAAGGTTGAACCATCCTCCATACTTCTGAAATGGTAGAAAACCAAACTCCTCGACTCCCAGCAGTTTAATAATTTCTCATTTTATGTGAGTAATATCAAAAGGAGCAAGGCTTTTATTTTTAAAACTTTATCATTCCAAAATGTGTAATCTACAGGGCGTGCTTGTCACTCTCTGAATTCAGAAACTTTCATCCTGAGGCGTCAGCACAGCTCCTCTTTTCTCTTAACCCCTAATCTTTCCTCCCCTACTTCCTCACCCTACAACTCAACTTATGTCTCCCTGCCCCTGACAAAAAAAGCCAACATCACAGAACACTATTAAGTGGCATTCTCTTTCAGATCAACTTATAAGTGATGTAGTACCAATGATCGCAACCATTTTTCTGAGATACTTTTCTTTCAAATGCTTCTTGTATCACACTAAAATTTCACCACTCCTAAACCCTTAGAGAATCTTTTGTGGTAACTGAAGTTTTTTCTTTGTCAAATTTTTAGTCACTTAAATATCACATAGGGAAAAAAATTTTAAATAGAAACCTCCCCCTTTCCTGTGGGCTTAGATTATATTATGCATAATTTAATTTACTCATAACTTTGGGTCATCAGCATGTATATTAATCATTGTCCTGAGCTATAAAATGTGATGATATCTTCAAGGCTTGCTTGCTCCTACACTAAGTGGTCCTAGACTAATTTTTAAACTCCTCTGCCTCTTTTTCATAGTTATTTTTTCATTTCCATCATGGATATTAAGCTGACAGTTTTCTTGTGTTGTTATACAGTAGTGCTTTCCTGTCTTCCAGCTTTGAATCTCTTACAGATTGATAACCACAAAGCCTAATTGTTAGAATTATTTATAAAGCAAGAGTAAGTAGGGATCAAGTGAGGGTCTATGATAAAAGTGGAGGAGTAGTATTTAGTATATGGGCTTTATGACACCTGGGTTTAAAATCTGAATTAGCAGAAACATTTTTATGGTTACTCTTTGATTTTCAGCTGGGCTCACATTTGCATGTTTTGACAGCTAGTTGGGTTATAGCTAGATAAGGTGTTGCATAAATAAAATAGGCCTGGGAATGGTTAAACAGAGGTATTTTTTAAATGTGAGGAGGTGATTAAAGCATCGACTGAGTGTATAAAGTGACACCAGCCCTGGGACTGTAAGGGAGTAAATTAAGTCTTTGGAAGAAACCATTCTATCCTACTTTCCCATTTAATTTTTTTTTTTAGTTGAAGGTAGGGGAGAAACAAATTTCAGTCCTGTAAAATATGGCAGTTTTTATTAAATACATGGAAGATTAAGTAATTATTAATTTTTTGAATCTAGCAATAAATATTCTGGGGCTAGTAACATTGGAATGATTTCTAATTAAAGAGCTTTGTATTAGAAGTATTTAAATATATGATATAGTAAGATATAGTATACTTTGTCATATATTTACAAGTATGCTATATTATTAGGATATTGGTGAAGTTTTCAAAATTTTGACGGTTTCCTTGTAAAGTGCATGATCATTCTGGCTTTATTTATTGACTTCTCCTAAATTAGACAAACCTAAGAGAAGCCTCAAAAGATACACATAGTGTCCAGCTGTCTGTTAGTGAGTAACGAAATTGTGGCTTAAATCAGCAATGATTTATTTCTCACAAGTGTGGTGGAGAGTTTTTCTGATGGTGTTTTGGGTTGCTTGTGTGGTTAGCAGGCTGGGGGCTGGGTTCAGCTGGAGCTGTTGTTTTGGGGTGTCTGAGAGGGAATATTTACATATGGGAGGAGCTGTGGAAATAAAGTAGCAAAGCTGTAGTTGAAGAATCAGAGAAGTCACCAACCATTTCATCTGAAATGCAGACACATCTACTCACTAACGTGAGGCCACCAAAAGGAAACAGACGGAGGGGTCTAGGGCAGAAATCTGCAGTTCTGCAGCCACGTGTCTGGGGATGGATCTAGGGCTGCTTTTGGTCAGCAGGTTTAGCAGTCAGGAAGAAGAGCTGGATATGGTATGGAGGAGAATGAGGACAAGCTGGAACCTACCAGCACCTCTGACCTTTTTGTCCTGTCTTTCCCTGCACCACAACTAACCACCACGTCATCCCAGCTTACCTAAGTTGTCAGAGCACAAAGCACCACACATAGCTAAGTATGTGTGTAATTCACCTCTGACAGAACTACAGTTCTCCTTAATTCCAAATCACAGCATCAATTTCTAATAAGTAAATTTATTGAAAAGCTTATATATGTGATATATGTATAATTTTAATAAAGATAGGACTCTTACAGTTATAACATGTTAATTACTTAAAGTATTTAAATAATTTAATATAATGAAATGATCTAACGATTGTTAAACCTGAAATGCATTCAATTATAAAACGATTACCCAAACACAAACTTTAAAAAATCTATATTTTATATTTCTTTTTAATTTTTAAAATTATTGTAGCAAATTTTTAAAAATACAGAAAAGATAAAGAAGAAAATAAAATTCTCCTTAATTCTTATTACTCAGAAATAACCAGTGTTAACATTTTGGTATGTTTCTCCCTTAACTTCTCAATATGTGATTTTTCGATTTCCCTAAAAGTGAAAATCATACTATATACCATTTTGTGATATTTAAAAAAAATATCATATATTATTGACATTTTATTCCACACTTAAATATTTGTTGAGAAAGTGAATTTTAAAGGCCATATGATATTTCATCTTATAAACATATCATAATTATTTAATCAATGCCTCATTATTAAAGAACTGTTTCCAGTTTTTCCTTTGATAAATAGTGCTACAATAAACTGTGTGAAATTGATTATTCCCCTACTCTATAATTCTGAAACAGGCGTTACTGGATCAGAGGACATCAGCAATATTGGGAGTTTGAACCATGTGGTCAAATTGCTCTCTAGAAGGATTACTGCACCAATTTAAAATCTCCCAAATGATATATGAGAGTGTATCTTTCCCTACATCCACACTAGCACTGCATATTGTCATTAATTTTTTTTTCAGCTTCAGTAAAAAAAAATCTAATCCTTAATTCTAAACAAAATCTGTTAGAGACTTTAACATAACAGGATCCTTTGGAAGAGAAATTTGCCTGAGCAGATGTCCCTTGGATGCTCTTTTTATAAGGTTTCATTTAGCGCAATATTTCTGGGGCATATTTTACATTAATAGTAATAAATGTCAAAAGTAATATAATCTTGGGCTGGCCCGGTGGCGCACTGGATAGTGCGCCGCTTGGGAAGCGCGGCGGCGCTCCCGCCCGAGGGTTCGGATCCCACATGCGGACTGGTTCCCACTCACTGGCTGAGCGAGGTGCGGGAGCAACGCCGAGGGTTGCGATCCCGTTGCTGGTCCCCGGTCCGGTACGGGGGCAACACTG